CACACACACACACACACTCACACACTCACACTCACTCACTCTCACTCACTCACACACACACACACACACACACTCACACACACACACTCACACACTCACTCACTCACTCACTCTCACACACACTCACTCTCACTCACACACACTCACACTCACACTCACTCACTCTCACTCACTCACTCACTCTCACACACACACACACTCACACACACACTCTCACTCTCACACACACTCACTCACTCACACACACAGCTTTATAATATTTGAAAACACAGACACAATCATCAAACGTTCAACTGAATAAGAATTTCACACGGTTATAATTTAAGTTTTCAAACACATGATATGATGACAGTGAAGGGAAGATCAGAGCCGTGACGCTGAGATGTGTGTGATGTGCGTCTGCATCGGCTGCATCCATGAAAATAAATCACACCTTTCCGTCACTTTTCCACGTGAGAAAGAAGCCAAACTCGTCGACTTTGAAATGGCAGCTGGGCTCAAAGACGAAGGGATCCTGAAAAACACAGCGGAGGATGAGCGGCGTTACTGACGACAGACACACACCGTTAAAACGGGAACATTTCCCTGAGAATGCAATCATTACAGTGTTTAATCAACACGTCTGATTGGTCCGTCTCACCGACACACACTGACCGACATCACCTGCTCTTACTGCAGAATCAGGCCTCATGTGCGTCTGAAGAGTGTGACGTCTAAAAACAGATCTTAACACAGCAGGAGCCGCGTCTGAAGAAATATAACACACACCGGAGAGACGGAGACTCCGCTAGTGTTTACTACAGTCTTACAGTCTGGAGTCGACACCAGCTGCTGAAAGTCAGTCTGCAGATTCAGAAAAAATTATATTCCAGGTAACAAAATTAGGTCATAAAAATGTTATGGGAACATTGTTTTGAAATGTTTCTAAAAAGTTTTCTTGTCGAGATTATTTAAAGGTTACAAAAATATTTCCTGCAACGTTTACTAACTTTATTTTCACCCTCATTTTAGAAGCTTGAGCATTTAAAGCGGCGGATGGCAAAACTCGTTTATAAAAAACACCGCTTTCATGCGTTGAGGTAGACGCTAGTACAGTTATCGTTATAGTCACTGTAGTTATGGTTCATCTGGAGTATGACAGCTGGTTTTAATCTGTAACCATTTACTGTGATGCAGTAAAACCAGTTCAGATTTTAAAGTCAAGTTAATGTCAATATTTTGGCTTTCAGAATCACGATTCATCCATAGAGTTAATTGACTCCTGATTCCTGACGCCACAGAATCGACTCTGATTGAGCAAATAACGCGTCGTTCCCGAGTTTAGCAGTAAAAATCTTAAAGTCCACATAAAAGCGTCGTGATGCGAGCGAACACCCGCGGGCTCGGCTAATGAGTTCACTGTGAACGCCCTCCAACAATGGGACGGAGCCAAGATGGCCGCCGGCAGCACAGTTTCACCGTCTGTTGCTCTGTAGGATCTGGCTGAACCGTAACTGCTCTCCATGAGACTCCCTCTTATTCACAAACTAGTTCCTGTGCAATACATCTGCCGCATTAATCAAGACGCTGCAGGGCCGCTCAGTTAACGAGAGCATGCGACGGCTGTCATGTCGCCCTGATTTTACTGCGATCAGCACATATTTAACAGCTGACGTTTAATAGCAATGATTCACCTGCAAATGACGGGCGGCACTTTAACGTGGAGCCAACCTGAGCAGCAAACAGCAAAAAAATACTGAAGCTACTAACTTGATTAAACATCAGCGAAATCACAAACAGACGAGCGATGAGTCGCATGAACAGCGGAGTTACCCAGAATCCCTCTGATGAGTTTCTGTGGATGTTTACGTGCAGCTCGCAGAGCCATTTCAGCTCCTGCAAGAGCCTGATTGAGTTACACAAGAGCAGGAAGTGTGTGCGAGAGAGAGAGAGTGTTTGTGTGTGTGTGTGTGTATGAGTGTGTGTGTGTGTGTGTGAGTGTGTGTGTGAGAGAGAGAGTGTGTGTGTGTGTGTGTGTGTGTGAGTGTGTGTGTGAGAGAGAGTGTGTGTGTGTGTGTGTGTGTGTGTGTGTGAGTGTGTGAGTGTGTGAGTGTGAGAGAGAGAGAGTGAGTGTGTGTGTGTGTGTGTTTGAGAGAGAGAGAGAGTGTTTGTGTGTGTGAGCGTGTGTGTGTGAGTGTGTGTGTGAGTGATTGTGCGTGAGAGAGAGAGTGAGTGAGTGAGTGTGTGTGTGTTTACCTCATCGAATCGGTCAAACACGGCTCCTTCCTGCAGGAAGTCAGGAACGTGTTTCTGCCAGTTGAACTTGTATGATTTGGTCATGACTGCTCACAGACCTGAAACACACACACACACACACACACATGATGGAAACACAACCACATCTCTGTCTTTACAGATAATCAGACTTTTCAAAAGAATAAATTAAATAATTCTCTAGTGACATGAACACATGTAGCAGCAGACAGCAGCTTCCTGCCAGACACTGAATGTTATAAATAAACCGCTGATATGCCACGGAGCTTATAAATATTCAATCAGCTCATTAATATTCACGAGATGTGCTGCATATTCAAACACATTAAACAGAAGCAGTTACAGCATGACGGTACGTTTCGAAATTATGATCATGATGTGATGTGCGTCAAATTGTGATTACGGTCTGATTACAGCAGAGGATCATGGGAAATATTAAGCGCAGCACAGCCGTAATTCATAAACTGGTTAAATAAATCGCATTTACCGGTGAGATTCATCACTGCTCCTCATCAAAACAAACTGAAGAGTTTCAAACTAATGACATGTTCTGCATTGATGTTCATCTCACAGTCTAATAATGCAGCAAATAGTTTAACATCTCTAACTACTACTACTGACTACTAGTCAGGAACCCAAACTATTCTGGTTAAAGTTGATTGGTCACCGATCAGCCGTGAAGCGCAGCCCGTTCTAACACGTGAGTTAGTGGAGCATCTGACGCGGAGATAATTATCCATCCCTGTAAAGCAGCCCAATCCTCTGTTACCGCCGGTTTAAAACGGCAGCGAGGGTAATTACCCAAAGGCCCCTGCTTCATAAACGCACTCAAATTAACGAGTGACGCAGCCATGATGCAGAGGACATGCGGAAAACCTGGAAGATGATGAAAGCTGTCAATCAAACACATCAAAGATAAGATCATATCAGCTCCAACATCAATCTAACTCATCATGTGTCTGAAGTGTGTGTGTGTGTGTGGGTGAGTGTGTGTGTGTGTGTGTGTGTGTGTGTGTGTGAGTGTGTGTGAGAGAGAGTGTGTGTGTGTGT